CTCACGGGGAACCCCCCGCACCCTGGGGGCGCAGAGGGCGCACGCAACACAGATCCATTATTTATGGTCGAGTCAATTATTCAGCTGCCGGGGAAAGAGCCGGGGGGCGGGTAAGGCTGGGGAGGGGGAGGCGGCTTCGGAGACCACCCGGCCGGAGGTCGCGGCTCTCCCGCAGGGCCTCGGGAGTCGGGAGGTGTCCCCACGCCGGGGTCCCGTTGTGAGAAAGCTGCCTCGGAGTGGGCTCCGGGCAGAGCGTGAGGAAACCTGCGGAAGCGGGAGAGAAGGCTCAGAAGGAGCTGGCTGGGGGCGGGGGGCGGGGGACGTGGGTAGAGCCTGGCCTGCGAATTCTTCATTCCCATCTTTCTTACGAGCCCACTTGGTGCCACTGAGCCCACAGAAGATGGATGGTGGCAGGAAAGGGTTAATTTAAGAGCAGGAATTTGGAGTTAGAGCTGGGTCTAAATCCTTGTTTGTATTACATTCCCCCCTGCTGTGTGCCCTTAGGCAACGGACTTGCCCTCTCTGAGCCTCCACTTCCTCCTCTGCAGGATGGAGAGGAATGGAGGACTTCAAGGAGGCGAGGATTCGATGAAATAGGGCACTTGGACAGGGCCTAGCACAGAACGGGGGTGGGAGGTGGATCCTCTCCCAATACCCTTCCCTCCCTCCCCACCCCCTTCAACTGTGGGTCCTGGTTAAGCAGCATCCTCCCATGGTTTCAGACACTTGAAGGTCATTTTCAAAGCCAAGTCAACTCCATGGCCTCTGCCCAGGGCCCTCATCTCTGGCTGGCTTCTCACCAGCCTGGCCCTCCAAAGGCTAGTGCTTAAGGCAGCCAGAGGGGTCTGCCCGAGGCTGGCTCTAATCTGCTTGCACCCCGCCCCCCTCCCTCCTCCCCAGCCTCTTCCTTATTTCGTGTCCTCCATTCTTCTTCCAGCCTGCTCCTCCTTACTTCCCATCTGGGCTAGAGAGGTTTGGAGCTCTGAGGTCTTGGGGACAGAGACTGTCGGAATAAGAGGGGGCTCAGCTCTCAGGAGGTCCTGGCAGTCCCCAGACGAACTTTGCCACTGTCCAGGGTGCCACTTTGTTCTTCCAAGGCTCAGAAGCTAAGGAGGCTTCTGATTCCAGACACAGGCTCGACAAGGGGTTCTTACCAAATCTTGCAACAGCTATATTAGGTGGGCCTGGGCAGATCCAAGTTTTGGGGGGCCCGAAGCTTTTACGGTCTTGAGGACCCTCATTAAGAAAAACGATGCAAAGTTATGAATGCACAGTTAAGCCCAGGGCCTTGCCAAGAGTCCTTGGGGCTAAAACTTTATTAGCTTCTTGGTAAATCACCTCTGCAGGTGGGTGACACAATAGTCATCCTTTTGCAGAGGTGGAAATAAAGCTTAGAACAGGGAAATCGCTGGCCTAAGGTTACACAGATAGAAAGGACAAAGCTGGGATTCAAGCCCAGCTCTTGCTCAATAGGCAGCACCATGAACTGCCTCAGTGCACATGTAACCTGACTGCCTCATCCGCTCCATGCCACATATCACCTGTCCCCATCACGAGTCCAGCCCAGGTCGGAGAGTAGGGGATGCAGGCAACCCAAGGCCAGCCTGTGCCCATCCCTCCCAAGGCCTTCATGTCCCAAGACGCCAGCCTAGGACACTTCCTGTCTTGTGACAACAGCCACACGGTACCAGGAGGAAGGTCTCTTCTAACCTTTTAATTCCCGCAGCTGTACCTGGTCATTCCAGAACTCAGGCTCCTCAACTCTCCCTATTAGGTGGTGAGCTCCTTGGGGGCAGGGGTGGTTCTGTCTTCTTTGGCATAGCATTCCAGCTCTCCACACAGGACAGGCACGGAGCAGTCAGCGCATTCAGCAGTAACATCTATCCCCAGCTTGGGGCCTGGGGTAAGTCAGGAGCAGGAGAGACATTGTTAAACTGCAGAATCCCGGGCCTCTCCAGATCCACTGAATCAGGCTCTCTGAGCAGAGGTCCTGGGACTCTGCATCTTATAACTCTCTCAGGTGCATCTCAAGCTCAGTAGAGTTTGAGACTCACTTAGCCAGGAGCCAGAAAGGGCCAGAACTGTGTCTGGACGAAGCCCCTCTCGCAAAGGGGATGCATCTCCTCTAATTCTGGCTGATATGACCAGTGTACCTAGCTCATCTTCCTGATGAGAGCTAATTGTTTCTAACATTGATTAAAGACCTACTATGTGCCTGGGACCCGATCTGAGGCCGTATTGCGAGAACAGCCAGAGATGAGCGCTGATACACCAGCCCGTTCGTGACTTGAGAAATCAAACACCCTTTAGTCACTACAGGGACCTCAAGCGAAGACGTGCAACAAAATCAGGCAACAGACCCCAAAGTAATCTAATCAAGCCGGCCTCTTCTTGCTATCTTTGCGCTCAGTTCCAAATGATGTGTTTGGTAGAGGGATTTGATGTGTTTGCTTCAGGCAAATCTTTGCCTTTTGTCTCCCCGCAGTTCTGCTACAAAGGAAAAGGAGCCAGGCCAGCAAGAGGAGAGACCAGGGCTATTGGTGGGCGGGGCGGGCGCTGCAGGCCGGCGTGGTTCCCTGGGCTGATCTGCAGGGCTGTGGCACGATGTTTTTCCTGAGTCAAATGCAGCCTAACTCTTCCCTCTTCCAGGAGGGTGATAAAAGGCATGGCAGAGATTTCAGGTGGGGAGGAGCTGATTTAGTGGCCACTGATCCTGGTGCCTGAGGGGTAGCCGAGACACAGGGGGTGGACTTGTTCTGGGAGGACCCAGAAGGCAGAACCAGGGGAGGCCACCCAGAGAGGTTGGTTTGGCCTTACAAGATAAACTATCTAATATTCAGGGCAGCCTTGTAGGTAGTGAGTGTCCCACGTGGGGAGATGTTCAAGGACGGGCAGTGTGTGTGCATGTGTGTGTGTGTGTGTGTGTGTGTGTGTGTGTACATATAGAGCCATGAGAGGATTGGCTTAGGCAACTTTGAGATATTTTTCAATGTCGAGACTCTGGAAATTTCCATTTCTAATTTCACTGGCCAGCCCAAGTGTGGCTGATGGGAAAAATTAACAGAGAGGAAAGGGAGCAGGTGAAGGGGCCCAGATGGGCAAACCACAGACCCCTCCGAGGTACCCAGGGGCCCTG